AAACATTAAGAAAAACATGACCAAGACATAGAAAGAACTCCATGAACAATCTCCAATGCCTCTAGAAACAGAAAGAACTCCATGGACTTTCCATGCCCCCCCATGAATCTTAACACATCCACCATACATCACAATTTAGAGTTCTCTACCTTTAACGTCATCTCTACCCATATTAATCAAGTACACTAGATAACAGTTAGTACCTTGCATTCTATTCTTTTCCGTTCATCCTCCTGTTCAACTCTATGGTCTTTGGTTGCTGCTTCAGCTACTCCACAGCTACAAAAAACAGCTCTACAGTCTCCCAAATTGGAAAGAATTACTTCTTCTCCTTGGTATCAGAGCTGTGACACAGCAGACACCACTGCCTAAACCCTAGAAAATTATGGAAATTTTTATAAAACAGTAGTTCAAGATGGCCAAGAAATTGCATTTTAAGGAGAAAATGTAGCTCCATTTGGCATTACCAGATCCAAGAACCCTTGGTCCGTTTTCAAGACAGCGGCTTTAATTGCGTCCTCCTTCTCTGCAGATCCCATGCAATTGCCCACCACTTGCTACATTTGCAACAAATTCCCCTGCCTTCCTGCCTCCATGGTCATCATAAACGCCAAAAAAGGCCTACGCTAAAATAAGGTTCATCACAGAAGTAAATTAAGCTGCTAGAATTCTAAAAGAAATGAAAGCTCAATTACATCGATTAAGTGGCCTTTCGAGCGAGGAATGATCTTGCGAGTATCTTCCATAAATCTCTTCTTGCCTTTGACGGAGAAAACCCCCACGTGATGTGGAAAATCTGAAAACAGAAATTGAATCAAAATATAAAGAGAGACAAGGGAGATCATGACGAATTAGCAATTTATTCGCACACAAAAGACAGAAACACATATTACAACTTGTGTTTCTAAACAGATTGATGTCATATTGCAACGAAAAAGGACCAGATACTTTAGAAAAGAAGCATCAACGGAAACTCGATAAACGCACAACTTTGAGTTTTCGCAATTAATCTCAAGAGCGATTATGAGATACAAACAGCAGAGGCGGGAAGGCATAATAAGGAGAAAGAGCTAAAAAGTGGACTTAATATAAAGTTCAGGGGAGTAAACAGAGTACTTCAAGTTCACCAGTCCCGCCGGAAGGAACGGAATCGGATCGGGGAGTGGCGGCTCCAAGTTCGTCTGCTTGAACCTCCCGCAAGACGGTATGGATCTCAATCTTTGGCGGGTCTTTCCTTTTAAGATTGAATTACACATTGGGAAAGTTTTATGCTTGTTAATGATAAGTTTACTTAATTAAGAAGAACTTATAATTTTGGTTTAAAGCGTGATTGACTTTGCGGCCCGTTATTATAATTGAGGGAGGGGAGTGTTAAAAACAGCGTATCATCTTATTCAATTTGGTTTCTCCTGCCGCCTCATGTTAAAGGAGATAATTGGTTATTTATAAACTCATGATCAACCACTTAATTAATTAATTAGAGAACATAATCTTATTAATGTTAGTTGGAGTCGGGAGAACATAGAATATAGAGAAAGAATCGATGCTGTGTTTTTTTGATTCATCAATTTTTACTTTTTTGTTTGTACAGAAGAATGGATCCTCGTAAAGTGTAGCTTGGGTTCGTAGTTTCTACTAAAAAAAAAAAAAAAACATTAATTTGACATTAATGGGTGGAAATAATGCAGCAGTATTTTGATTTTGAGAAGACCTTATAGATTTAAAATAAAGTCAAAGGTGGGAAGGTTCAAGAGAGTGAAAGGTTAAAAGGCAATAATGGAAGATGAAAAATGTGTGGTTGAGGCTATTATAGAATGGAATATTTAGAGTAAAAAAATTGAGTATTAAATGAACTCCTCTCCTTCACACGCTTCCATTATAATTTCTCCTTCACTCCCTTTCTCGACCTTTTTATTATCCCATCAATGCCATCCCTTCCTACCAATAACTCTCCATATGAGTATATTATTATCTGCCATTCATGCACGCCATGCAAAGTAGTGAACGTCCTGATTTTGGGTGAGATGGATGTGTATTCCTATTAAACTAATTAAAACACAAGAGGTGGAGGACACTATTTTTTATATTTTTATTTTTATTGTAATCAAAATATATGAAAACAGTTTTGAGTGGCCATTACACAAAACCCTAAATGGAGGAGAGGCGGTGTGATGAGCTCAAGCGTTTTCCAGTTTAGCCGCAAATGCGTTTAAAACCTCCGGGCATTGGAAGATATCATCCACCACCACATTCTCAGGATTCCCAAATGCACGCTCACCACCTTCATTAAACTCCCCCTGGATGCTACAATCTGGGTAATCCAATAAATCCAAGTCAGTAGTGAAGCTCGGTGAGTGTTGGCTGTTCAATTCATCCGCAGCGGGGTCGGATTGATCATGGGGGTTGGAGTTGGAATTCTCGGATTTGGGGAAGAAGCCGTGAATTATCTCTTCCAGCAACCCCGAATCGGGGGAATCCTTTGGGAGAAACTGGGAGGAGTAGTAGTTTTGTTGTTGTACGGAGTGGTCAGGAGGAGGAGAGGCTGCTATTTTGGTCGCCGCGGTATTATTAACCAACGAAGGGGGCTTTGGATTACTAGCATTGGCAGAAGGGAAGTTGAGGAAATCACGAAGAAGAAGCATGTCGAGAGTGGGAGAAGCGGTGTTAATCCTTTGCGCACCGGACCACAGGAACTCGGCCCCTCGGCTGGGAGTGGAAAACATGGGCCAGTTGGATGCGTTCACACGGGGGAGACCCGGGTGAGATTGTTTAGGGAAATTGAAGCGAGGGATTACATACTCATCCGACACTGAGTGAGGGGGTGGGGAGGAAGGGTATACGAAATTGGTGCGAGCCTTCAGGCCACGCATGGACCGTGCGGCGCAGTCGTACGCACGTGCAGCCTCCTCCGCAGTGTCGAACGTCCCAAGCCATCTCCTTTCTTTGGACTGAGGGTCTCGAATCTCCGCGGCGTAACGCCCCCAAGGCCTGCGCCGAACTCCGCGGTACCTCATTGTGGCAGTAGTGGAGTTGTGATCTCGGAGGGTTCGCTTGAGACCGGTGGCGCTGGTGGGAGCGGCGGTGGTAGTGGTGGTGTTGGACTTGATTTGGTAGTCGAGGAAGGGATTATTGGTATTAGTATTATTCGTACTAGTGTTGACACGCCTGAAGGAGTCTTCCATTTTTGAAGAGAGAAAAGAAGAATGACGGAGAAGGAGAGAGGGCGTGCTGTGTTTGAGCAGTAGGATGGGTATCGATGCCACTTGGCTGCACCCGGGTTGCGTGTATTTATAGTACAGGAAGAGGAGCGAGGTCAAGGTGTGGGCTCCCCATCATTTTTCTCTCATATACTTTGTCACAGTTGCAAATTATTTTTGTATTTTAATTCAATAATGCACTCGTTTCTTCATCCAAACACACCATAATACAATTATTGGAAGTATAGAGGTTGGCGGTATTAATATCTCTTTACATATAAATGGGTAGTAATAAAGTTTTTTTTTCATTTATTATTATTTGTTATTTGTATATGTATTTTATGCATAATGGGTAACTATGAGTTAAATGGCTCTACGTACCATCGTATATATGTATAACTGGGGCATCTTATATTGTATGCAATTAATATGCCTTCCCAATAAATTAAACCAGAGGTTTCTGAATATATAAAAAAAAAAAAAAAAAAAAAAAAAAAAAAAAAAAAAAAAAAAAAAAAAAAAAAA